TAAACCAATCAGAGTGACACATCTTCACTGCACAAAAATATTATTCCATAACAAAGGAAGCTTGCATAGTAAGAGCTGATGGCAATCTTTCAGTTCCGAGGGAACCATGATCAGGTCCAGAGTAGATAGAAGAGTCTTCTTAGTATAGAAAGAGCCAGACATCATGCCTGGGGAGATGGCTCAGTGGGTAAGCATTCTTGTGGTGTGTATATGAGGCTCCGAGTTTCAACACCCAGTACCCAACATGAAAGCTGGACAGAGTCACACACACCTGTAACCCCAGTACTGGGGCTTTCTGACTCCAAGTTTATAACTGTCGTAGAGAAGGACACCCAGTGTCTTCCTCTGGCCTCTGTACCTGCTTACACACACACACACACACACACACACACACACACACACACACACACACACACACACAAAACACACACACAGAGTTATTGAAAGAAAGGAAGGAAGGAAGGAAGGTCTGGTATTTGTGTACCCAGCATGCCCAATCACTCCTGGCAATCTCGAAGTATCTGGCTGCTCCTGAAAGCTGCTGGTCTGAAGCTGTGACCCCTGCAGCCTGTGGGCAGTGTTCTCTGAGAGGGAGATCCCAGGTATGTGCCTTCCTGGCAGCTGTGGAGGTGTGCTTTACAAGGTCACCCAGAAAGCAGGTGATAAGTTCACACCCCTGAGCTATGGCTGCACTAGTCTCACAGTGGGAGGAGCTTTATCCCACGTGGAACATTTTGCTGAGCAGAGAAAAGAGTGAAGATTCAGACTGCTGTAGTCTGGACGTTGGTCTCTCCCAACCCCTGATTTCTGTGGTAACAGTCAGCAGTGGATAATATTAGAATGTGCGGCCTGTGAGAGGAAATTAGCTCATGAGGGTCTGCCCTCATGAATGCAGTCAGTGTCTTTGGAAGAGAGACCCAGACAGCCTCTTTGCCCCTTCTACCACACAGTGAGGTGGCCATCTATGAGACAGAAAAGGGCACTCACCAGACATTCAATTGGCCACAGCCTCCAGGACATTGAGAAACGAAGTTTTCTTTTTGTTGTTTGTTCCATAGTTTGTTTGTTTTTGAGATGGGGGTCTCTTTATACAGTCCTGGCCATCTTGGAACTTGCTATGTAGACCACGCTGGCCTTAAACTCACAGAGATCCTCCTGCCTCCACCTCCCAAGTGCTGGGATTAAAGGCATGTGCTACCACGTCTGGCATGAGAAATAAATTTCTATTGTCTCCACGCTCTAAGTTCATGGGAGTTTGGTAAGCTTAAACAGACCAGCACATGCCTTTCGGGGTGGGGGCACGGATAGCTCTGAGTTCAGAGTGACAGTTTGGTGTTCAATTTCCTTTCTTCTTCTTCTTCTTCTTCTTCTTCTTCTTCTTCTTCTTCTTCTTCTTCTTCTTCTTCTTCTTCTTCTTCTTCTTCTTCTTCTTTTTCTCCTCCTCCTCCTCCTCCTCCTCCTTCGTTTGTTTTTTTGTTTTTGAGACAGGGTTTCTCTGTGTAGTTTTGGTGCCTGTCCTGGATCTCGCTCTGTAGACCAGACTGGCCTCAAACTCAGAGATCCGCCTGGCTCTGCCTCCCGAGTGCTGGGATTAAAGGCGTGCGCCACCACCGCCCAGCTCAATTTCCTTTCTTTATCAGACAAGTGTTTTCCTTTTCTCTAAGGCAACTAATATTTTTGTCTCTATACAGAGGGACCTACTTCTCTCCAAAGTGCCCACAGGAAACCACTGCACACACTTCTGCCCAGATCACTCAAATGAAGAGGCTAGTCCATTCCTGAGACACATAGTCCAAACTAACTTAACTTTCTGTAGGTTTTAAAAGTTATTTGTAAAGCTGGGTGTAGCGACCCACACTTTTAATCCCAGCCCTCAGGAGGCAGAGGCAGGTGGAGTTCAAGACCAGCCTGCTCTGTGCAGGTAGTTTCAGGCCTGCCAGGGCTACATGTAGTAAGAACCTGTCTTGAAAGAAAGAAAGACAGGGAGGGAGGGTGGGTGGGTGGGTGGAAGGGAGGAAGGGAGGGAGGGAGGGAGGGAGGAAGGAGCTTGTTGTTTGTTTGTTTGTTTTTGGGGAGAGTCTCTAGATGTACCCAAGGCTGGTGTCAAACTTTGAAACTCCCTGCCTCAGTTTCTCCAGTTCAGGGAGTAAAGGTGTCTGTCACACCTGGACCCAGGAAAAGCCATAAGCTGATCCCACCCAGTGGGGCCTGCATCTAAGAGCAAATACCTGACGTTCCAAACATTCTTTATACCCTCAGACAAATGTCAGCCAATCAGGGTCCTGAACCCTGGAAATCCCCTCTCCCCAACCTCTGCTATGATAGTAACCCCAACCTGCCTGGGCTCTGGGCTCTCTGCTCTCACCACTGCATCTGACAGACAGAGAGACGAAGCTCAGAGCTTGAAAATAAAGGCTCTTTGTTTTTACAGATGGGATTTGGTCTCTGTGGTGGTCTTTTGGGGGTCCCTGAGATCTGGGCACAACAATAGCCACACCCTTGTGTAAGAGTGTCCCTCTCTGAAGCAGGGCTGTGACCCAGACAATGGCTGATAAGGTGTTGCTTCTAAGGCTAGGTCATACACGACAATGTCTTCAACTTCTCATTTTACAACAGTCACATCTTGAGGGCATTCAGGCAAACGTGGCAAGCTGTGACTACCTGCCACAGCCATGTGAACGTGTCATTTTGGAAGCAGACCTCCACAACCCTAGTGGAACTTTCAGATGACACCCACCTGGCAGTAGATCACAGCCCGATAAGACTGAGCTGTAAGGACTCCGTGAAACCTTCCCTGGACTCCCGCTCTGCCAACGTGTTGACATGCACAGAGATGCTCAGGAATAAGAGGAAGGACTATGTGTGGCTGGGGTGGGTGTCAGGTGACCCTTTCCCTTCTCTAGTAAGAAGTGTTGAGGCATGGGTGTGTGGGTTCACTCGGGACCAGACCGTTGAACAAAGACTCCGAGGCACCTTAAGAATGAATCCAGCCTTTTGGGGCTGCAGGAGGAACTAGTCTCTCAGGACTGAAGCACTTTCCCTTAGCCCAGGGCATTTCTATTTTTCTCAGTATTTACAGTGTAGCCAGTTGATTTCCATGTGTTCAAAACAACCTGAAAGAAACTCCCAAAAATACAATGCCAAGTGCAAGTCCGTTGATTCATCAGGTACCACAGTCTTCCCGGTTTCCTGAACCAAGTTTTGCATAGGCCTTTGTGTCCCTGGAAGACTCTGAGACAGGATTCACATAAGGCAACAAGAGAAACAAAAGGCATCTGCTAAACAAAAGACGAGTTAGGGCTAAGTGCTACTCTCTGGAGCCAGGCCTGGTGTAGCCCAACAGGAGTGCCGCCACACTTCTCAATCTCATATCCTTTCCATCTCCTTTTCCCTCCCACTTCATCCTTACCCTTGATAGTTCCTGAGGAAATAAGAGTCCACATCAGGAGCTCCGCTGGGGTGTGTCAGTTTCTTCTGTTGCTGTGGTAACCCCCTGACGAAGGCCACTTAAGGGAGAAAGGGCTTACTTTAGCTCACAGTTCAAGGGTACCGTCCACCACAGCAAAAGCCAGGGCTGGAGATCTTTAAGCAGCTGGTCACACCAAATCCACAGGAAGTAGAGCAATGCACGCCTGTGTTGAGCTCCCTTCCTCCCTCTTCTACAGTCCAGGACCCAAGCCTAGGGAAGGGTGGTGTCCACTGTTAGGGTGGGTCTTCCCACCTCAACTTCATAATGAATTCCTCACAAGTTTGCCCGGAGACTAGAAGAACCCTCACAGCTGTGTCTAGACGCTTGCCCCATAGATGTTACAGATCCAGTCAAGTTGACATGGAAAAGTCTGCCTTTCCGGGGCTCAGTCTACCATCTACCTCAGAATCTCCCCGCATGAAAGACGGTCTACAGAGAGACCTCAGCATCTCTGGATTTTGTGCCGTGTTTGGTGACCCATTTCTGGAATTCCAGAACTTGGGAGATTTGATGAAGGAGGATTTTGAGTTTGAGGCTTGCCTGTGCTAAATGCTCTCTCTCTCTCTCTCTCTCTGAAGCTTGGGGACAATTTTATTAGGATCTAAGAGAAAAATGGCAGAGAAAAGCGAGCTGCAAATCCAGGCAGTGGCTAGGAGAAGGTAGAAGAGAGAGAGAGAGAGAGAGAGAAAACTGAAAACTGCCCACTGTAAGCGGCCTCGTGGTGGGAGGGTGGGGGCAGCTTCAGTGAGAGTCAGGAAGCTCAGAGCATCAAGGAAAGCATGCCCAGGGCCTCACTGTGTAGCCCTGACTGACCCTGAATCTGCATGTAGACCAGGCTGGTCTCAAACTCACAGTGATCCACCTGTCTGTGCAAGGATTAAAGGCACAGTGGCCCAGCCTATGCTTAGGCTTTGGGGAAAAGAACAGAATGAAAAAGAAAGAAGGAAATGAAGGGGGCAGAGATGGCTCAGCAGTTAAGCACACTCTTCCAGACAACCCAGGTTCAATTCCCAGCACCCACACAGCAGCTCACAACTGCCTGTAGCTTCAGTTCCAGGAGTGACTCAGAAAACTGGAGTAACTCCTAGAAGCCCACAGTGCTGTGACCGAAACTCGGCAAGCACCTGCAAGACTCGTCTTTCTTTTCTTTTCCCTTCCTTCCTTCCTTCCTTCCTTCCTTCCTTCCTTCCTTCCTTCCTTCCTTCCTTCCTTCTTCCTTCCCTTCCTCCACCCTCCCCTCCTCCTCCTCCTCTTCCTCCTTCTCCTCCGTCTTCATTTTTTTGAGACATGGTTTCTCTGTGTAACAGCTCTGACTGTCCTGGAACTCACTCTGTAGTCCAGACTGGCCTCGAACTCAAAGAGATCCGTCTGCCTCTGCCTCCCAAGTGCTGTAATCAAAGGCGTGGGCCACCACCTCCTGCCTTGTCTTAAACTGACAACAGAACCAGATTTCTTAGGGCTTACACCAGCTTTGGGATTCATTTGTAAGAAATTTTTAAAAAATTGAAGGAAGAAAACAAGACAATATACATACATTTGAATGGCTATTTATTTGGATGGCTTTTAAGAAGCAGAAGCCCTTGTAAATGAAGGCATAGGACTAGCATGAGGGGAAGGACTCACAGTAATAAGCATGTAGCACCCGTTGTCACGTGACCAGGAAAACGAGTGGGCAGAGCCGGAGCCACTGATGTGCCACAAGTAGGCTATGGCGAGGCGCTAAGAAAGGTGTGTGCCCACTCTGGTCCCGGGGAGGGGTCACATAGACAAAGGAGCTCATGCTCTAGCTCTCCAAGGAGGCACTTGGGGGTTTATGAAGAACAGCAAGCCAGAGGGGTCAGGGGAAGGAGCCCAGGGCGGCGGCGAATAGAGGTAAGCAGAAAGCTACTGCTAGGTGGGTCAGCACACCCTTTAGGAGTTACGGCTTCGTTCTTGACTTTGTTCTAAATAGGGGACACTAGGACACTATTGAAAAAGGAAATTGGAAGTTAAGGTTATAGGTGTGTTCATTTAAAAATGAAGTTTGTGCCCATTCATTCAGTTTTTTGTTCTGACACAGGATCTCACGACGTAGCCCTGACTGTCTTGGAACTTGCTCTGTAGACCAGACTGGCTTTTGAACTCACAGAGATCTGCCTACCTCTGTCTCCCGAGTGTTGGGATTAAAGGCATATACCACCATAGCCACTGACATGCAGGTTCTTGTTTTGTTTTGCGCTTTGATAGGGTCTTGATAGGTAGGCCAGGCTGGCCTTGAACTTAGCATCCTTCAATCTCAGCTTCCAGTGCTGGGCTAACAGGTGTGCACCCCACATCCAGCTTGTACCCAAGCCTTTAAAAACACTGGATGTTCTACACCGTCTCCAAGGTCTCATAAAGACCCCAAGCTGTGGTTCTGAGGGTAATGTCCTTCCAATCTCAATTACTTGAGTCTAAACGTCCCAGTTCCCTGGGCTGGGGCCGGTAGGAGCAAACTAGAGATTGGAGGGCTAGATTTAGCCGACAAGATAGGCTTCCTTTGGCCTGTACAGTGTTTTCTAAACTTGAAATAGTTGCCAATATTTGAAAGTTCAGATTTCTAACTTCTCAGGAAAAACAAAAACAAAAAAACACTGTGGCACATCAGGCCCCCCCAGCCCAAATTTCTACATGCAGGGATGGATAAACAGGACCCTAGATGCATTTTCCCTCTCAAAACTTAGCCTGATGCCCTTTGCTCCTATCTGTTTCCTGTGGGGCTCCTGTAGACATAGGGTTTGTGACCCCTGACCCACACAGTATGTTTGCAATGACCATGGCAATTTTCTGATCAGTGTCAGCTACAAGTCTAGCCTTGAACTTCTGCCCTAATTTAGTGGCTGACAGCCAAGAAGGCATATTCAGCCTTGGCCAGGAGTGTAAGACACTGGCCTGCAGGGTTTTGGGTTGCCTTATGGAAGCTCTTACTTTGCAAAGATGATTCAGTCTCTAAAGCCCCTGGGTGTGTGGGGGTATGGCTCATTGGGGAGACACTTCCCAGTCAAGATCAGAGGTAAATCACGTCTGGCAAAAACAGGAGGCCTCTGGGCAGTGGAGGCACATGCCTTAATCCCAGCACTCAGGAGGCAGAGCCAGGCAGATCTCTGTGAGTTCAAGGTCAGCCTGGTCTACAGAGCGAGTTCCAGGGCAGGCACCAAAACTACACAGGAGAAACCCTGTCAAAAAAAAAAAAGAACAGGAGGCCAGGAAGAAAGTCGGCTTGCCTAGCTGTGGCCTTTAGCTCCTAATCAAACCATATTAACCCTGGCTCTGTTAGAGGAGGGAAGAGATGTGTGGAGATTGAGTTAGCTGGGGTCTATTCTGCCACTTCCTCCCCGAAGCTGTAGAGCCACAGGGGTAGGAGACAGAGTTCAGAGGCAATAGAAATGGAACATAAGCAGAAAACTAGAGAAAGACTTGAGAGATCTGGCCTCCATGGCCCTCGGGTGAGGCATGTGCAATGCTCATGAGATGATGGGAACAGCTAGCGGCATGCCCGTGAGATGATGGGGGTAGCTAGGACCAGTTCCAAGGGGTGATGCTGGTCATCACCTGTGCGGCCCAGGATCCTCAAATAACAGAGACAACCATCTGTACACACTCCAAGCTTGCAAGTGTGTGTGATCCACACAGACACTCAGAGACACACATACATGTGTGCACACACAGAGTCATCAGCCAAGAAGTCTGGGCCATCACTCACACCTGTAAACGTGTACTCAATCTGTATAGTGGTACATAGTCATAGGTGTTTCCCCATACACACCATCACAGTGGTTTCCGATGAGAGCCGTCGGCTGGCTCATCATACAGAGATGTTTCACAAACATTGTCAGAGCACCTGAAGTCCTTATGAGAGTCCAGCACAGTAATCGGTAGCGAGGAAGGAGAGAAAAGTAAACCATAAACTACAGGCACAGCCGAATGCCAGTCTGCAGTGCCACCTACTGGCAAGAGAGGTTTCTGCACCTTGCCTTAGGGGCAGAACCTGGGACACTGTCTCCAGCACTGGCTCAGTGAAGCTGCCAGTTATGGGGCCAATGGTCCTCCTCCTCCTCTTCATCATCATCAGATTCTGCTGGAGACAGGTGAGAAGCTGGCATCCTTGGAGCTGCACCACAGCATCAGAGAAGGAACATCAAGGACCATGCCTGCCTGCTGGAAAGCAATCCTTCATGCCTCCTCCAGCTGGGACAGGGTGTCTGAAATGCCGCATGAAGAACCTGAGGCCAAGCCTGGGCTTTGTAAGGGGGACTATCGTGATGGGATGGTGATGTCAACCAGGGCAGTAGGTGAGACAGTTTGCCGTGTTTGTAGTGGATTGTAAGGGTGGCTTTGTGGCTTGTACCTCATACCTGGAGGAAACGTCCACCCTTTAGTGGAGTCCGACTTTTCACTCCATCAGCATCTTCTGAGCCAAAGCCTTCTGGGGACCCTTGAGAACTTGTTTTCAGAGAGCGAGTGAAGATGACTCACTAGATCTGAGGGGCTGGAGTCAACACTGGACGCTTCACTTTATGCCAAGCCTACGGTTCACAGCCATCCGCTTACCAGCACGCACCAGGGCTCCAGAGACCCCATGAGGCCAATGGAGAGCTGAGACCGCAGCTGTAGAGACAGGTGGTGGAGAGCCAGCAAGGCCACCCGTAGCCAAGGTCCTGTTCCTGGTCTCTCACCCATTAGCTTGACAGGGTGAATTCAGTTTGACTGGTGTCAAATTTATGAATCAAGCAAATTGCAAATTACAGTACTTGGAATTTTAAATCCTTGAATGTCAGGAAAGGTTTAGATAGTCATCAAGTCCCTATCTCTTCTCCCCCTTAGCTATGGAGCCAACTTCTGTCCTTAAGTGCTTAGGAGGATGTAACCTTGTTTGTCCCAGTGGGCCAAGGGTGTTTGCCTTGGTCCAGGGTCAACAGATATTCTCTTAAGAGGGTCAGATAGTAGGTATTCTCTTGGCTTTGGAGTTTCTGTTGGTACCATTAAATTCTGCTGCTGCAGTGCATCTATAAACCAATACAGACATTTCTTTACGACAACAGGCAATGGATCCAATTTGGCCTCAGAGTCCTTAGACGGCCAAAGCCTTTATTAGCTCAACTCAAAGATCTGCAACCTGAGTTTCACACAGCTTGAAGTTGTTCAAAAGCAGTTTAGTGGGACTGCACATGTCTGGGTCTAATTTAAACCCTTGGCAGTCAGGATGCTCTAAGCAAAACGTGCCTGCTCAAGTGTGTCCCAGCTTTTCAACAAGTCGGCTTCAGGTGAGTTCTTCCAGTGAAGGCCTCTGAATGGAGCTTCCCTCGCCACTATATGGAAAATGATGGACATCCAGGTCTCAGCATCAGACCGTCCCAGCACCGACACCTACTAGCTGGGTGGCTTTGAGCAAGTTACGATAGCTCCCCAAATCAGTATGTCCAGGACACCTCAAGAGGGTAGACGTGGACCACAGCGCTGGTATGTCCTCAAGCAGGCTGGATCACAGGAAGATGCAGCATTCCCAGTGGAGGACCAAGGGGACACCCAGGGACTTGGGGAAGGGCTATTTACCGCATGCTATGGAGGGGCTTTGCCATTCTAATCATCGCTTTGACCCACACCAATTGAACAGAGGTGCAACATCGAATCTGTCTTGGATTTGAACTTCTTGCTAGCTTCCGTTTTCTTTAGGAAATATCCTGCTGTATTCCCACTCATGTAGTTGGGCTCTCATGCAGGGGAGGGTTTGCTTTCTTCTTTTTGTGATGGGGTCTCGTGTAGCCCAGGCTGGCCTTGGACTGGCTGGCTCCACAGCTGAGGATGACCTTTACCTCCTGACTCCTGCCTCCATCTCTCCGGTGTTGGAGTCCTAGGTGTGCACCATCGTACCTAGCGGACGCCATGCTGAGGGTTGGATCTAGGCGTTTGCATTCAGTAGGCGAGCACTCTACTGACTGAGCCAGATGCCCAGCTACATCTCCCTCCCCCGAAGGGAGCTCTGTAGCGATGATCTTAGCAGTCTCCATGCTTAATAACAAACAGAGCTACTGTTCCGCTGGCCGAGTGGCAGTTCCACAGGGCCTGGGACTCTGTTGGCAAGCACTTCCTGGGAGGAATGTTCTGCCAGACCTAGGGATGTGGTGCTTCCAGCTAAAGGGGTCCAGTGTTCTGGGAGCGGTTGATTCTTCTGTCCCAGTGCTGCGGTCTGAGGCTGGGCCTGCAGCTCTGATGCTCAGCTGGTTTTTTAAATCCCCTGGTAACACAATAAACAACGCTTCATGCTGCCAGGCTCCTCTTCGGCCCTTGAGTCCATCAGGAGGACTGTCTGGCTGCAGCCGGAGTCTGCCCCCAGGACTTCTGGCCTTTTATTCCAGCTCCAAAAGCTTTTGTCCAGGCTTGAGATGCTCATTTTTGGTTTCAGTAATAGAATTTGGACCTTTCTGCACTGCCCAGGGCTGTCTGTAGCTACTCATGGTGTCTCCAGTGAAACCCACAGCTTCTTACAGCACCTTATCTTCTTGCTTCTGGCACAGTACCATTCCTGTTTCCTGAGAGACCTGGAAGGGTTTGCAGTATTCACGACCAGGCCCTGGGCATAGACCTCATGCATCCCAGCATCCAAATTTGGCAACATCTGGTGCTGTTTTCACAGTACACAGGCCTTTTCTGGCTGGGTAGCCTAAAGACACTCTGTGACCTTGTACTTTGCACATCCGTACAAGCTTGTGACCTCTGACTGTGAGCCTGGGCGGGTACCCTTCAAGGGGGTGACTATGGCCTCACAGCAGAAGGCTGCTGTGTGATCCAGTGAAGACGGAGAGTGCCCTGAGGCTAAGCGTCTTCTCTCACCCCCTCTTCACTTCCTTGCAGCTGTTCTTAGGTCACACAACATCTCTGACCAGGCGTGGAGAACCAGTAGTGGAGAAAGCCCCTTACAGACTTGGTTCTACCCGGAGGCCTCCTCCGCTGGCCACAAGGGTCCTGGCTGTAATGACGAAAATGACCCTGTGCAAAATCACCTTTGTGTCTTGCCCTCCTGGGTGCAACAATGCCAATGGCTCTGTAAAGCAGCTTTGTCTACCTCACGTTCATCTCTGCCTTCCAGGAACAGTGTCCTCACACTGCAGACACAGACAGGAACAGTGTCTGCACACTGCAGGCACAGACAGGAACAGTGTCCTCACACTGCAGGCACAGACAGGAACAGTGTCCTCACGCTGCAGACACAGACAGGAACAGTGTCTGCACACTGCAGGCACAGACAGGAACAGTGTCCTCACACTGCAGGCACAGACAGGAACAGTGTCCTCACACTGCAGGCACAGACAGGAACAGTGTCCTCACGCTGCAGGCACAGACAGAGCAGTGTCTACACACTGCAGACACAGACAGGAACAGTGTCTGCACACTGCAGGCACAGACAGGAACAGTGTCCGCACGCAGTGTCCTCACGCTGCAGACACAGACAAGAACAGTGTCCTTACGCTGCAGGCACAGACAGGAACAGTGTCCCCACGCTGCAGGCACAGATGCACGCTCAACCCCGTGTTTCTCATTCAGCCCAAGCTGGAACTCATTTCCAGGAGCTCCTGAGTTTTCTTTGTCCTCCTTCCTGAACCTGTTACCCCGAGACACACTGCCCAGAACATGTACTCATTCAGATCCTGAGTCAAACGCCTAGAAGGACAAAGGTTAGAGTCTCCGATTGCCCTTCAGTCTCCAGGCTCCTCTCCTGGCCCTCTGATAATGCTTTGGGTTCCTCATTGCTGGCATCCCTGTGGGAGCCAGGGACTCAGTGTACGAATACATGTCTGCTTGCCCCTTCTTCCTAGGGGACCAACCATCCACTCTTCCGTCCTTCCTCTGAGTGCCAGGGCTGCTTAGCAAAGGAGGAAGTGACCATCACTCATCATGTGGAGAAGAAAGGGCTGCGTGGATTCGTGCAAAGGTGGAGTCATCATTGGTACCTCTCAGGGAGCTCAGCCCATCCCAGAATCCTTTGCACAGCACCTCAGTGACAGCTCATCACCTCCAGGGTAGCTCTGACTGGCTTTCCCCTACCCACAGTAGACTCATGCTGGTGCACGTCCAACTTGTCCCTCTCTAAGCCATCACGTCCTTAGCGTCTTAGATCAGATCAGACCTGACACTTCCCACGTCTCCCTGCAGCAGCTTGCCCTCAGACTCAGCCTGGACAACCACTCACTTTAGGGCCTGTGCTTTCTCCAATTTTGGGTCTAGAGCTCTCTTTCGATGCTGGGAGAGCTTCCTTACAGCATGGCAGGTGGCGGTGACTGGCAGACCCGGGACTGAGGTGTGAGGAGGTTGGCAGGCAGAACTACTGAACTTTCCCTAAAAACTGAAGGCAATGGAAACCCAGAATTGGTAAGCCACTAAAGCCCACTCCAGCTGGAGCCTACAGTGCCCCCTGCTGGCTAGAGGAGAATTTGCATGTGGGCTACATTCCTCTCATTTCTCTCCCCAAACCTTGACCCGGTAGCTGATGGTCCATGGCCCAGGATAGCAAATCACAGGAAGCAGCCGGCTATCCTGTGCAGCAGTTTCCCAACATGGAAAGATACAGGCAGGGCTGCTGTGCAGAACTGTGCATATTTCCCATTTGATGGGCTGAGGGGCGAAGGGCTGGAATCTAGCCTATGTCCAGGCTTAGGCCAGAGGAAGGGCCATTGTTTTTGTAATTCATTCACCTAGACAGAATGTCATCTTGTAATCTACATAGGTGCCATAGGTACTAGCAGCCCCGGCACAGGATGATTCATTTGAGGCACAATCTGGTAAAACCAAGCTTGGAAACCACCTACAAGGGAGAGGGGTAAACTGAGGCTTACGAAAAAGAGGGACTTAAGTCATGCAGTCTATGCCAGGTCTGTCTGCTTTAGATGCCGAATCCGCCCTCTCTCACACAATGTTCTCTGCACTACATGCGACAGTTTTCATCCCAAGCCCTTCGGCATTATGGCTTCTCTGACTATACCGCTCTCTACCCACCAATTCCTCCATGACATTCAAGCTACCCTGCAGAGTCCTGCTTTCCTAGCCAGGATCACTGCAGTGTTTGGCTAGCAGGTACTTGGAGAATGCTGGCCCAGTCTTCCTAAGTTCCTTGGAGCAGAGGGAAGAGGACGGCATGCAGGAGGGTGGACAGTGAGGAACCAGGAAAGTTCACCAGATGAGGTCTGGAAGTGTGATGGGTTGCCCGGAGCAAGGTGACTTAGCTACTGCGAACCTAAAGTCTGCTTAGCAGCAGCAGCAGCAGCCCGCCGGGGAGTCTGGGCCACACCGTAAGGCACATGGGCAGCCACTGTGCCCATCTCCTGAGCCCCAGCCACATGGAACATCTGGTCATCAAAGAAGATGTGTGGGCGGATCTTCTCAAGAAGGGGGCCCTTGGGCGCCCCTGCTAGGAATAAGGCCTCATCTGTCTCCAGGCCCCAGCTTCGCAGGGTCTTGAGGGCCCGGGCCCCAGAACTGGCTGCGCTGCGCGCGGTCACCAAGTAAGTACGAATCGGGCACTCCAGCCGCAGACCTTTAGAGTAGAACTTCTTCTGCAGTCTGCCCAGGGCTTCCAGAAAGCCTTTTAGGGGGCCCTATAGAGTTAAGGAGACATTGTGAGATTCCCCTCTCCTAAACATCTGCCCTTTCATCCTGAAGCACCAGTGAGATTGGCTGTTGGAGTGGGAAATCCCTAACTCTTTTGGTGGTTTTGTTCTGCCTGTTGGGCCCCTGTGTATATACAGGGCTGTAGGTCCCTGTAGTCTGGGGTCTGTCTTAATGTTATAACCATAACCAGGGCAACTGTTGCTAGGCATATCTATCCATGTCTCCTGCAGCGATCTGTCCTGCAGTGATCTGTCCTATAAATGTGGTTGTCGGTGTTCATCAGCAAAGAAGGTATTAAAACTAGCTAGTAATGATGGCATGGGCACCTGCCAACCAGAATGGACTCTATCTGCGAATATCGGGACTAGAGAGGCCAGTATGTAACTACTAAATATGTGCCTGCCTGTGGACAGACACGCATGTGGCTCAGGGTGTTGGGCTCAGGCTCTCTGGGGTCAGGGAAAGCGGCCACAGCAATGAAGCTACTACAGACATGTGAATAAAGAACGAGATGATGTAGAAGGTAGCTCATTTTCAAAGCAATTGGAAACTGGGAAAGTGGGCTGCTTGTCTTGGGGACTTTCCTAGCTGGGTAACCTGGGGTAAGCAGGGTTCTTCTGGGTCTCTATCAACCACTTAGTGGGAAAAGTGTCCTGCCCTGGGACACATTTGGCGTTCCCAACAGGGCTGGAGAATCCCATTGCTCCACCCATAGGGAATTTCTAACAAGCTCCAAGACACATTTCTGTTCCAAGAGGGCCATTGAGAAGTATGAGGGCAGGTGAGCGTTCTTGTCTCTCAGTGAAGGAAACAGGCTTCTGGGGGGATGGGCACTTACTCAGAAGGGAATGTGAAGAGAGGCGCTGAGGGTTACAGGGAAAGAACATGGATTGGGGGTGGGGGGCACTGGTTCAGATTTTTAGGAAGGGATGGGGACTTCAGAGAAGGGTTGAAGACTCGGAGTGGGTGTGGGGGTTTCTGAGAGGAGGAGGGAGACCTCAGAAAGGGGTTTGGAGGAACAAAGCAGGGGGGCAGGGGAGGCTTCAGAGATGCCTGGAGAGCTGTTAGAGGCCCCAAGAAGTGGGGGACCGGACTTGGGTGAGGGGGTGGGATCCAGTGAAGGAGTGGAGTCTCATTGAAAAGAGCCAGGGTCAAGTGAGAGAGAGGTTTAGAACTCAGGAGGCAGAGGCAGGCAGATCTACACAGAGAAACCCTGCCTCAAAAACCAAAGACAGGGGGAGGGCGCCTGGAGTCTTGGTAAGAGGACCTGGTGGGAATGTGGGCTTAGCCTGGGTTTGGCCCTGAGTGGGAGCTCAGGCCAGGCCAGGTTCTGGGGAATGAGGGGTTATTCAGGGGTTCTGGGAATGTGGAGCACCTGTGCCAAAGGTTTGTTCTCATGGGCCTTCTCATGCTCGAAGAATCTGTCCAGCCCGTGGGCCTTGACAATGCGTTCGGACTCATCAGAGAAGAGTACTGCGTCCCCATCGAAGGCCACACGGAGTTGATTCTGGGACACAACTATGTCCCTGCTGGGGCTGAAGATGGTGGCAGCTGCAATCCCTGCACAGAGAGAGGTCAGTGTTGTCTGCCTGGGCACAGGAGAAGGTGTCGCATGCTGTCCTTGTTCCGCCAGCGTCCCCAGGGCTAAAGACAAGCCTAGCAAGGACTCATACTGGGAGCATTTTAACACTGGGGGTCCATGGATACTGGCTGTGAGAACGTGCCACAGCTACAGCTTTGAGGGGTCACTCCGAGGGTCCCCATCAAGGTCTAAAGTCTACCTCCCTCACAGCATCTTTGTGAAGAGCTCTGGAGGTGTCCTTGGGCAGGAAGACACTGAAGATCTATTTACCAGCCAACATGAAGAAGTCTGAATACTTTAACACTGAAGATCATGCTGGTGTAGACTAGCCAAACAAGTCTTGGCTGGGAGCACTCCTATCGCTGTTCTTTTTGGAGCTCCTCACCCTCTGTGGACCTGCCACAGCCTGGGAAGGTGTCTTGAGGTGGAGTCACTCCCTCGCTATTGATCCCAAGTTCTCTGGGCCAAGGTAAAGTTAAGGCTGAGCTCTCAGGCTGCAGCAGGGATGCGTGGGTGTGGACACCCTGTCTACAGCCACCAAGCATCCAGGTACACTGAAGTCGATTGGTTCAGACTGTGAGATAATGGGCCTGGGCCTGGCAGGTAATATAAACTACTTGTGATAATGTATATAGACTTTCCGCAACCGGGGTTCCTTCGGGATGCAAGAACGCCCACCAGGGACCAAGGCTCCAGGTTAGAATCAGCTGAATCCTTCTCAACAGTTTCCATCTCTCTAAAGGCCCCTTCGACCCTGCTCCTTGGGAATCTAGGGTCTCAGAGGTAGACTTCCGCAGAGCTCTGGCAAGAGCTAGCAGGACAGGTCTTACAGCGGCTTCACTAGCCTAAGGATGCCCAGGGTAGGACCAGGTCCTGAGTAGCAGGTTCCATACCATCTCAGCTCTGTCAACATAAAGCCAGGATGACCCAGAACCCCCTGCTCTGAGCAGGACATCCATCTAACAACCACTCTCCCTGGACTAAAAGTCAAATTCCAGATGTACAGAGGCGTACCTACAGGTTAGTTAGTTCAAAAACCCCAAACAAAGGGTGTGATGTGTCTAGGGACATGCTCTCTGGGTCCTGGCTAAAGGAAGCTTCACCAACATGGAAGGGAAAGAGGGTATTTGACAGAGGGACCCTGAGTGTCCAGCCTGAGTATACATTCAGGCAAATAGGCAGTCGATCTTCCCACCTCCGTGGGCTTCTGTTGGAAGGCCTGAGACCATGTCTGTCACCCCAAACTGCCCCTTGAAAGGGGCACAGGGAATGGATTTCTCACTATCAAGACTTGTAGCGGAGTCCCCTAATCTCACCATGGCACTGGCCAGCCCAGCTGTGGGAGATGATCATTTTTGAAAGCCGACTACTCAGGCTTGGCTAGATATGTGTGTTCCCTCTTTCTCATTGGCCTGGTGATGGATGGAAGCTTCCTGATCACACAGGAATCAGAACTCCCATCAGCCCAGAGTCATCTCAGAAAGCATTAGTCTTCTGGGCTGTAAGGAAAGTTTCTATGGAAACAGAAGGCTAGGTGGTGATGATGAATGCACACTGTAGGGAGGGAGATGAGAAAGAGGTTCAGGTGGGCTTTGTTTTCACGTGACAAGACAGATCACAGGAATGTGTGCACAGTTCCCCTTGCAGTTACCTTGGCAACGTCGGCACTGCAGGACCAGGCTTCTCCCCACTCGGGACCCCTTTATGTATGGGAAGGTGTTCCCGTAGTCTCCTTCCTCATTCTGACTTACCCGCGTCAATGGCTTCTCGCACTTTTTCCGAATCAGCTGACAGGTAGAGGTTAGTGTGATAGGCCTTGAGGTAGCAGATGGGACTGTTCCCACCCGTCATGCAGAATCGCTCGATGAACAGGTCTGTGGAGGGAGAGAGTCCCCAGATGAGGCCAGGGTCAAACTTCAGGCCTCAGGATAGTCTCTCAGTGCCTTGTGCGAGCCATCCTGGATCTGAGCGGTGGGGCTGCAGAGTGACCCTCGGTTTCAGCCTAGCATTTCCCCTGCATCTTTCGTCAAGGACACGAAATGATCACACATCTGGAGAAAGGCCCTGGTTCACAACAGTCCCTCCTAGTCAGTGGCCTCAAAAGACGGACCAGAGACCCTATCTTCCGGGTCACAGCTGATTGGATAGGGGCAGACTCTGGACCCAGCTGACCCAATCAGAGTCCAACCTGGGTAGCGTGCTTCCCTGGCTGCAAAAGCTGTATGTAAATAGTGGCTGGCTGGCAAGTGGCTGCTACCCTCAGCCACTACCCAAGCCTCGTGTACAGGACTGTTGTCCTCCTCACCGTCCACAACAGGCAAGGGACTTGACCTCACAGAGGTCCCCAGGGCCCTACTCAAGCACGGAGTGCTGCCTATTCTGATCTCTCAGCACCTGTGGTGAAATACTGTTACCATCAACCTCCCACGCAGGAATTTGAAATTAGTGTTATAAAATGCCGACTGGGGACTAAGATTGACCACACACAGCCTACAGAGGCCCTGCTTTCATTCCCCAGCACCCCAAATAAATAAGGAATAAATAAATAAATACATTTTTTTTTTTTTTTTTGGTTTTTCGAGACAGGGTTTCTCTGTGTAGCTTTGCGCCTTTCCTGGAACTCACTTGGTAGTCCAGGCTGGCCTCGAACTCACAGAGATCCGCCTGGCTCTGCCTCCCGAGTGCTGGGATTAAAGGCGTGCGCCACCACCGCCCGGCAAATAAATACATTTTAAAGTAGTGAAGAGGAGCTGAAGAGACGGCTCAGCGGTCAATAACACTTTCTGTTCTCAAAGAAGACCCGAGTTCAGTTCCCAGCACCCGCGTGGCAGCTCACAACTGTCTGTAACTCCAGCTCCAAGGAATCTGATGCCTCTTCTCACCTTCAAAGGCATCCTCACACAGGTGGTGTGGCATTCACTCACAGACACATACATATGCATGCAAGTTTTAAAATTTTTTTTTAGCAAAGGTAGTGAAGCCAGGTGGCACATGTTTTAAATCCCAGAACTCAGGAGGCAGAGACAGGCAGAACTCTGCAAGTTCTAGGACAGCTAGAGTTAAATAGAGATATCCTGTCTCAAAAGAAAAAAAAAAAAGTAAATGGTAGCATGTGTCTACAATGTCTGCAAATGAAATGCTTTTAAGTCTGAGGCTAGCCTGGACTACATAGTAAGATCCTGTATCAAAATTAAGTAAAGTAAAATAAAAGACACACCAAACTGTGTTGTTTGGCTGTTTGAAACAAGATCTTGTAAAGCTAGAAAGATAGATGGGTTGGTGTTGGTGGTTTTTTTCTTTTTTATGATTTATTTATTTTTATTTTATGTACATTGGTGTTTTGCCTGCATGTACGTCTGTGTGAAGGTGTTGGGTCCCCCCGGAACTGGAGTTACAGACAGTTGTGAGCTGCCATGTGGGTGCTGGGAATGTGGGTGCTGGGAATTGAACCCGGGTCCTCTGGAAGAGCAGTCAGTGCTCATAACCATGGAGCCATCTCTCCAGTCCCTGGTTTCTCCTTTTTAATGGTTATTATGTGTTTGGGTGTTTTGCCTGCACGTGTACCTATGCTCCGTGTGCATGCCTGGTGCCTGTGGAGGCCGGAAGGGATCTGGAAGCGTTCGGATTTCCTGGAACTGTAGTTACAGATGAAAACAAGGAAAAGGCTTTCTAAAGAAGCACAAGGACCCTTTTGGCCCAGAGAGAATACAAGCCCAAGAGAGATTGCCAAGACTTGGATTCTGGCCTTTCTGGGTCCAATTTTCCTTCCTGCTCTGTGGTTCTGAGTCATTCTGGAACTGCCAATGGTTCCCTTCACTGGAAGCTTGCTCCAAGAGACTTAGAACTTTCAATCGTAACTGGACTCTTTCACTCTGAACAGCCCCCGATTATCCCATCAGCCTCATGAGGCTTGCTAGTCTCCTACAGTTAGAGAAACTGAGGCACAGAGAAAGTAAACTCCTTTCCCTGTTACACAGAGACTGAGGCCTGTCTAGCATGGGCTGCAGCTGACTTGTGCCAGCTTGCAAGAGTCAGCTATTAAATATCCAGGGATTTTATGAGCCAGTTATGCTGATTAACCATGAGTGGCCAGAAATGGGCCATGGACAAATGACCTGTAGACTGGCAGCATTTAAAACCAGTTTTGTTTGTTTTATTTTTACAGGTTTTTGTTGGTGTTTGTTTGTCTATACAAGGTTTTTCTCTGTGTAGCTCTGGCTGTCCTGGAACTCACTCTGTAGTACAGGCCGGCTTTGAATTCAGAGATCAACCTACCTCTGCCTCCCAAGAGCTGGGATTAAAGGTATGTGCCACCATACACAGCATTACAGTCTTGTTATTATTTTTAATTTTTTTTTTTTTTTTTTTTTTGGTTTTTGGAGACAGGGTTTCTCTGTGTAGCTTTGCGCCTTTCCTGGAACTCACTTGGTAGTCCAGGCTGGCCTCGAACTCACAGAGATCCGCCTGGCTCTGCCTCCCGAGTGCTGGGATTAAAGGTGTGCGCCACCACCGCCCGGCTTATTTTTAATTTTTTTTGGAGACAGGTTCACATGCAGCCTAGGCTGGCCTTAAACTTACTATGTATCTGAAAATGTGCTACTGATCCACTGACTGCACAGCTGCTGGATTGTGGGTTCGTATGCTACCATGCCTTCTTGGTTTCTTGTTTGTTTGTTTGTTTGTTTTGTTTTTGATACAGGATTTCTCTGTGTAACAGTCCTGGCTGTCTTGGAACTTGCTTTGTAGACCAGGCTGGCCTCGAACCCATTGAGATCCTCCTGCCTCTACCTCCCAAGTGGCATGCACCACCACCAACCGACTTGTTTGTTTTTTTAATGTGGTGCTGGGGATCTAACGAAGGGCTTCATGCATGCTGGTCAAACACTCTACCAATTAACCACACCCCCAGCTCCTTGTCGGTCTGTCTGTCTGTCTGTTTGCTTGAAAACAGGGTCTTGTGTATCTCAGGCTGGCCTTGAACTCACTAGGTTGCCGAGGAAGACTTTGAATTCCTGGTCTTCCTGCCCTCATCTCCCGAGTGAAGGTATTAGATGCATGGCATGCATTACCATACCTAGTTTTTATGCAATGTTGGAGATTGAGCCCAGGACTTTCTTCTTACTAGGTAAGCACTCTACCAGTTGGACTACAACCCCAGCCTTATTTGTTTTAAAAGACCAGGTTAAAAGTGCAATACAGTGCCAGGTTAGTAGAACATCACTGGGTGTAGGATGGCAGTCTGTAGAACCTGACCCAGCCTGACCCTGCAGAGGTGTGGCCTTCCCCCAGGGGGCGTGTGTGGTCGGGGCATCCCGCGGCCATCCCCCTCACGCTTACTTACCATAGTGGTTGATACTGTTGATGAGACGGACTCCCACTTGAGCATGATTGTTAGTCATGAGGACAATGTCAAAAACATCCTCGCTATCCGGATACAGCTCCCGAAGCCTCTTGTTCACAGCCTCCAGGGCCTGGAAGGGAGAGAGCAAACTCCAGTTCAGAGTCCCAGGGATTGATGAGTCTGAGTTGGTGGCCAGGGATCCAGTGAGAAAGAAGAGGGGAGGCCAGGGGCAGCCTTGATTTGGAACGAGATCTGTGCACACCACCACGCTCTAATGCCATTTCCCACCATTGTGTGGGTTGTTCACTACTCAGAGGCATGCCATTAAAGGTGGATAAACGGGTGATCGATCTTCAAACTGGTTACCCATTCTAGGCCACTCCATCAGTGGCTTCTTCTTCCCACCAAGTCTCAATCTGCTAGCTGTGGGGTTTGCCTCTTCCAGGCAGAGCTTCTTACAAAGGCATCGTGTGGGCTGCTTAAGGAACTACTCCCTCACCTTCACAAAGGGGAAGGCTGGTCCAGGGCTGAAGGGCTCATTCTCATGCTCCAGCTGGTAGCGTACATACTCCTCCACACCCTGCTCCGTGTAAATCCTCTGCTCCTCGTCCATGCGGAACAAGGCTCTGGAGGACACAGCAATGGTGACTGCATTCTGAGGCTTTGGCTACAAGAGGAACAGTAGGACAGGCCATGACTCAGACTCACCTCGAGGCAGGTGCATGTGGGCAAGCCCTTCCTGGACCCAGGGATGTGGAGAAGGCCAAGGCTCTGCTCCAAGAAAGTCAGCCTTGGGTAGAGGCGACTCTGGGCTGGATCCTGCCGGAGACCGGCTCCTTATTTAGGAGTGTGGTGGGAAGAAGGGGCATGCCCTCGGGGAGTTGCAATATTGTTGGCCATCTGGACACCACAGAAAAATGAGTACAATGTATACAGCCAAAGTGTGGCCACATTGAGATGACTCCCCAATGGTTTCCATTATGAAAGGAGAGCTGCATGCCCTCAGGAAGAAATTAGAGCCCAGAAACACAGTAATTATATAAGAATTTTTTTTTAATCTGTAGCCTGGATCTGCTTCCTGAGCTGCAGACTCACATATAAACTGCCCCAGTCAACCAACAGACCAACAGACACTCCAACTTACTGTGTCCGAGGCTGAATTTCCCACCTTCTCCCCAAAACCCACCCTCTCCCCTTTCCTCATCTGTGCTCAGCAGATCCATCCATGTAATCTACTCATCCAGATTACCACTTCATGAACAGACACGGAAACCAGGAAGTAAACCTTCACTCCCCTGTTCCTGCCCTTTCCCCACGCCCTTCTGCATCGATTAAGTGTCCAAGCCAACCATACTTGGAATTCACCCACTTTTTCTTCTCTTCCACAGCCCAGGCCACCATCACATAGCCCAGGCTACCCTCTCCACATTGTCAGAGGGTCTGTCTAAAGTGCAGACGTCATCCCAGCCCACCTCGTCCGTGGTACGGAGTCAAGCAGACAGCCTTTCCTACAGAGCAAGAAGTCCTTTGCCACAGACCTCTGCTTCCTTCCTGCTCTCCGCTTCCCCTCCTCAGCTTTGCTCAGTCTCACCTTGCTCGTGTCTTTGCACACCTCCCCTTCTCCTCTGACCCTGAACACGATGTTCCCTTTGCTCACTGTGGCATCTCCCACAGCCTCTGTCTAGTTAACACATGTCCTCGCTCTGGCTCTCCATTGCGGTTGGTTCCTCTACGGAGTCTGCGGAGGAAGGGTTCTGGGAGGAAGACAGGGCTCCTGCCCTCAGAGCTCATCAGGGCATGGGGAGAAGACAAGAGAACAGAACCAAGAGGCCAAGGGATGGGACAGGAGGTGGAAGCAAGGTCTCAGTGACTGGCTTTAAGGGAAGTCATGAGGGGAGAGGAGGCCTTTGAGGAAGACCTTGAAGGAAGAGGCCACAAGAATTGGTGAGCACAAGCTCAAAGCCTTCACAAAAGTGAGCAGAGGCCAGGGCAGGGGAGGATATAGACGAGACCGGAAGGATAGGTAGGAGCTGGACTTCAAAGGGCCTCCTCACAAGAGGGTCCTGGCACTCCTTCCCAAATGAATGTATCCCTCCAAATCTCATGTTGAACTGTAATCCTGAATGTGATCATAGTAAGGGACAGAGCCTTTGGGAGTGGTTAGGGCTTCTCTTAGAAAAAAAGTCACCAGAGTTTGCCTTGAACGCATGAGGACTTAGCTAGAAGTTGCCATCTTTAAATAAGAAAAAGGACCCCAGTCTTCTGGTTCCTTATTTTTGGACACCCAGCCTCCCAAACTGGAAGAAAGAAATTTCTGTTGTTTACAATATAAGTCATCAGTCTGTGGCACGTTGCTGCAATAACCTGAATGGACGAAGACTTGGATAGGATGGGGTGAGGAATATGCCACCATGGACAGCAGCTGGACCCTGCCTGATTTCTGGGGAAGATCAGAATATGGGTGTTCAGGGAGGTCATGGATACCACTTCTCTGTGACAGTCCTAGGGTTGTGATCCTTTACAGATGAGAAGAGAGAGGCTCAAATTGAAGCCAAGACTTAGAAGTAAGTGGACCTAACACCCTGGCTTGTTCATGATAATCTTCTGGATGATTTATTTAACCCATAGCTAGACTCCAACTGATTGGCAGCATTTCGTGATGCTAAGCTGGGGACATGTTAGGAAGCAAGATAGGTTTGATCTCTGTCCCCAAGGAGCCATTCTCTGTGGCACGTTGCTGCAGAGATCATTCTTTGTGCAAGACCATTCTCTGTGCAAGAGATCCATGGCATCCTTTAGAAGATGGGGAGAGGATCATGCCACCATGGACAGCAGCTGGAGAAACTCAAGAATGTGGGCATGCAGGGAATGTATGGACACTACTTCTCTGCGACCTGGGCAGCTCTAGAAGCTGGGACTTTATGGAAATGCTCTCTAAACTGTGCTGGGTGATTGTGCAGTAACTTCAAATGTGACAGGTGATGCTAAGATTTGAAATCTAACTTCACGTGCTTTAAAAAACAAATGTGTATATGTATGAGTGATATTCGTGTGCGGAGCCCAGAAGTGGATGGCAGTGTCTTCCTCTATTACTGTCCTCTATTATTTGTGACAGGGCCTCTCCCTAAGCCTGGAGCACACTTACTGGCCAGTGAGCCCTGAGCTCCAGATAGATATCTCCACTCTCTGTACACCATCATACATGGCTTTGATGTTGCTGCTGGAGACCCAAACTCAGGTTCCTTGTGCTTGTGTGCCAGGCTTACCAACTGAGCCATCTCCTCGGTCCCTAAATTCACTTAATTTTAATGAATTTAAGCATTTCCTGTGGATAATGGCCAGTGAAACCTCAGAGCCTCTAAATAGGAATGGAAAGCCCAAAGGTTCCCGCAAAGTTGTTTAGCTGACCACAGCTTATATTCAGCTTTTAACTTTAACCAAGATGGTGCAGGTGGCCAGTGGGGCCCATGGAAGACAAGAGTGGCAAAGGCACCCCTCCTCTGACATTCAACCCAATTTTGTCAGTTTCTGACCACCTGTGTGTCCATATGTCCATTGGGAATTTCTCAACCTCGTCAGCACTTGGGAGCTTTAGAGACAGAGTCATCATTCACACAAAGACGGAGAGAGCCCCACAGCCTTCCATCCTCTTCAGGCAGCCCTGAATCTGGCTTTAGCCCATGCAGCCAGTCAAAGCCTTGATCTTCACTTTCGGTCCCATAGTTCCCACCAGATTGCTGGGCCTTGGGACTCCATTAGCTGAATTACCCAAACTGCCTCAGGTCATTGCAAGAAAAATGTCTTGATCGCCCCAGGAGTATCTACTTCCCTCTCACAGATGAGGAAATGGGGCTAGAGAGGGTCAGGGTTCTTACTTTAGGTCACACCAAAAAGTCAAGATGGGCTCTCAAGTCTCGAGCCTCTAGTTTGGGCTCTGTCCACATAACAGACTCCCTGGTATGAGTCTCCCAGAAAACGCTGCCTTTTCTTCCTTCAACAGCTTCCCTGGACACAACCCAGCTTCACTTTCCATATTTGGGAGAAATGAGGAGACGCATTGTGTCCTCATCCTGAGATGCTTCATGATGGGGTACTCTTCCCCTGAAGAATCATGGTCCCCAGGACAGGCCCCTGCCTCCTACTCAAGTCACCCTGATACAAGTGAGGTGAGGAAACCCAAACGCCTATAGATTGTCCAGCCTCCAAGTGGGTCTGAAGGAACAAGTGACGGGGTCTATCCAGAGCCTGGAGAAGCTGAGCCCTTGTAGACTGACCCTCTTGTGCCTGACCAGGTCTCTTAACACCCAAATCATATGTTGTGATGTGCACCAAAATCAGAACGCCCCCTCCAGGCTAGGAACTGGGACAGAACAGCCTTAGGAGCTTAGCCTGAGACTACTGAGCTTCAGGGAGCCATGGTCTTGTCAGTTCTCTGAGACTCAGACTGATTGCTGTGGCTTTGGGGTGAAGGTGAAGAATTAACAGAGGGTCTCCCAGTGCCACTGGCCTGCCCAGGGAGCTCCCACCTAGACCAGCAATCTGTCTATTGCAGTCAAGATAGGAACATAGCCAAATAAACTGCTATTTCTGGAAGGCCATAGGAGGGATGCTGGGAGAGAGGACAGGATAGCTCTGGGTGAGGGCCGCTGATGGCCTTGGCTAGATTAAATATTTTACTCTAACTCCTGGGAATTGAAATGAGCCCAGGCCAGACCCCAATGGGGCCCATGAGGCTTGAAACCCCCAAAATAGCCTGTGGGAAGAGGGCTATGACAGGAAGGGACAGGAGCTGGGAGCATCACCTAATCAGACAAGGGCTCAAGGGCTAATGAAGGGGCTGTGACTGACCATAGCGGGTTCTCTGACACTTGGGAAGGAAATGGATTTTGAACACTGAAGATTCACTCCTGCTTTCCAGCATTTGTCTCCTCCCTGTCCCTCAGGCCAGGACATTAGTCAAGCTTTGCTATCTCACTGGCATGATGGCGGCCAGACCCAACCTTTCCAATCCACCCGATAAACAGCCCAGCGTCATCTTTATAAAATCAAAGTGGAACCAAGGTAATCCCTGCTTAAAAAAATAAAAAAGATCCTACAGCAGTTCCATTATGATTTTCATATTTTTAAAAGGCAGATTGACCTTTTAGTCAAATGAATTCTTAGGCAGAACCCCAATATGTAATGTTAGCCAACTATATAATTGCTTTAAGTCTATTTTACAATTCAGATTTGATATCTCCCTACCTACCAACCTATCTACATGAATATATTGGTTACAAAGCTAACCAATGAATACAACAGTTTCGATAACAATACATTTGAAAGCAAGAGTTAGGACGCTACCACAGACTGCTTCAGGATCCAGCCAATTTATTTTTATGTTTCTGCACAGTCCCGATTCGCACCACTAAATACCTGAAAATGGGAAGAGCTGCTTTTTTTTCAGTTATTTAGAGTATTTTTTTTTTTTAAGAAGAAAGAAAATAAATTGGATTCACGGCTCTGAAGACTGCCTGAGACTTGAGGCTCCACAGAACTCAGTAAGAAAGCCTCGACCCCACTAAATAAGGTCCAGGCCCCTTCACAAGGTACTCTGCAGGGCTGTCCCTGGGCTGGGGGCCTTTGTGGGTCCTTCTCTCAACAACCTTGCATTTCCCACTCAGTATGGATTCTGAACAAAGTCCTCAGCTTCAAAGACAGCTCCTTGCTTTTCAACCATTCTTTCCCCCTCTGCCCAGAGGCCACACCCACTGAAGCTTTAAGACCAGTTCAAATGCCATTTCCCCAAAGCCTTCCTGGCGGCAGTCGTCCCCCGCTCTATGCTCCCACAGTACCATGTGGGATCTTTTGCCTGAACATCACCATCTCTACAGCCTCCGTGGGCACGCTGCAAACTCCTGAAGACAGGCAGGGTGCAGCTTAATATCTCAGTCACCAGGATGAGTGAAGGCCTAGAGGGGACAGTGGGTGGAGTGACCTCCCGGGTAAAGTCACTAGAGTGAAGAGTGGGATGCTTTAAGGTCAGAATGGAGGTCCTTGTGTAATGCCTCTGGGCCAGCTTCTTTTCTCAATCTCTGGCCCAAGCTACTAGGTCTACGGTGGTGGCATGAACAAGGCCAAGGTACCATGCACTTGTCCAATAGAGGAAGAGGAATTCTTGCCTCTGTGTGAAGCTGCAAAGGGCTGATGCCACCGCTGTGATTCCTGTATGTTAATGCCCGCCGCGAGTCACAGGCATTGTCTAGGGTGCAAAGCCCAGCGTTGGGAGCGAAGCCCTGAGCCTGGAGCCAGCAGCAGTTTCTTTAAGATGCTGGGAGAGTGACCCCTCTGGTTCCCTAGGGCCTGGGTCTCCAGTTAGAGCCCAAACGCCGAGGTTTGACTTGGGAAGCCGAGCTGGCCGCGCTGACGCAGGGGACCTGAGAGCAAAGCCCCAGCAGGGTTTCCAGAGTCGAGTTACTGAGCCGGGGCGCTGCTGCCGGGGTTGCTGACCAGCTCTGCCAACAAGTGCGGTCCCGGTCCGTGCGTCCGGGGCTGCCAGCTCCGGGAGGGGATAGGCCCCTGATGACCGCATGGGGGAGGGGGATCTTGGCGTGGAACCTGAGCCCGGGATGGGGGGGAAAAACACTGCCACCAGAGCAGAGCTCCCAAAATAAACTGGAGCCTGAGCCAACTGCCGGGCACATTCTGGGGCGGAGGAGCTGTGTCCCCTCCGGGAGGGGCTCCACGAGTCCCTTTCCAGAGGGCTTGAACCACTCCCTGGAAGTGGCCCGTCCAGTGTCCCCCAAACCCAAGCCCTGCTTTTTACCGATTTGGGTTTCTTCTTGGGAGAGAGATTGTCATAGAAAGTCTTGGCATCCTCCCAGCGCGGCGCCGCGGCGGTCTCTGCCCCTGGCCCGGGTTCACGGGCCTCCCGAGGCTGTCCGGGTTCCATGCTCGGGCTCGGATCCGATCCGGCCAGGCGGGAGCAGGAGGCAGCGGAGACGCGGGGCTCTCAGGACTGGGTTGCGGGAGGGAGGCGCGTCCCGGGCGGGCGGGTGGGAGAAGCAGGCGGGCAGGGCTGGGAGGGAGTGCGAGTGAGCCCGCCCCGCCCGCCGGGGGTGGGGGACAAGCAGGTTCAAATGGCCGCTGGCGTTTAGGGGACGGCCGAGCTCTGGTTCCCCGACCGACCCAAGCCTGAAACAAATGGGGGGGCAGGTGATGCCTGCTTTCTGGAGCAGGCCGGCTGGAGCCGGGCTTGTAGGGTGCTGCGGATTCAGGGTTGTAGGGATGAAATGAAGTTCAAGGGCACCGAGAAAGGAGGAAGTCTAACAACTTCCCCACTAATACGGTGATTCCCAGGAAATGAGTAGGTAAGCACTCCTCCAAACTAACAGGCTGCTTGCCCCTTGTTGCCAGCATCCTGGCACTCTGTACAATCAGCCGCCTTTTCTCAAATCCCGGGACATCCTTGGACCCAGAGAAGTGGTAAATGGACAGCTCCGTTTATGAACAGGGTCCTCATTACAGGTGGGGGCAAGTGTGGGACCCAGGTCTTCCACACACAGAAAAAGGGGCTCTTGAATCCAAGGCGATGTTATTGCTCACCTAGTGGGCGACGCTGTCAAGAGAGATTCCAAGGGACTCTGACCCGGTTCATGTCTGCTACCTTGTCTGCCAGCAGAGGGCGTTCATTTCCAGGTGCGGAACTCGGGGACATTAGGGTTGTGAGGTGGCTGGAAGAAGGGAAGAGAGGAATGGGGTCTGGGACCCAAAGAATTATAACCTAGCATTTTAGAATTTCAAGGTGCTGTCCACATTGGTGAAGAGCCCTGTACTATCTGTCCCAAGGCACAGTCACCACTCAGAGGTCGATAGGATACGCCTGAAAAACACTGGCCTAACGGGGGGCGTCCTTTGCCTGGGACCTGGGAAAGAGTGCAGCTTTGATCAGCCTCCACCCTGTCTTGGTAGGAACCAAGTAAACTTTGTTTCATAGCTATTTCCTCCTGTTGAAACATTCCCTCCTGGGAGGTTCGGAGAAACTTGCAAGGCTCAGGAAGTCCAGGAAATTTACAGACTTGGGGTCCCCTCCCAATGATATAAATAGCAAAGTAAATGGGGAGAAGAGAGCATCTTTGGTGATGTAGCTGCCTGCAAGCTTCACTGGAAACTCCAACGTTGCAGTTTTCCCGAGTTGCCCAGATTCCTGCAATAACCATCACCCACACACCTGTATGTAACCCCAGTGAGCTCAGTGGTTCAGTAGGCTGGCCTTGGATGAGATCATTTTGGGTGTTGCCTTCTAGCTGGAGTGAATAGAGAGATCTCCTTTGGAAAAGCAGTAACATAAATTTGGGTGAGAAGAGAAGGGAGATTAAAAAATAAACATAAAAATAAATTGGGGGAAGTAGGTTCGAGGTATCCTTTTCCAGACTGGAATGAATGGGGATGAATGTTTTATTTACATAAAAGTAATCCATCCCCAGTAATTTGTCTTGAAAAGATGACCTGGGCCAGTCAAATTTCTCTTTCTTTAGAATAGGGAGTTGTGTGGTCAATCTCAGGCATGACTGAGGGTGAAGTGTAACCATCTCCCAAAAGGCCTGGATGAACCTCCACACAGTGTTATACTCCATCTAAAACAGAGGGCACCGGGCAGTGGTGGCGCACGCCTTTAATCCCAGCACTCGGGAGGCAGAGCCAGGCGAATCTCTGTGAGTTCTAGGACAGGCACCAAAACTACACAGAGAAACCCTGTCTCAAAAAACCAAAAAAAAAAAAAAAAAAAAAAAAAAAAAAAGCAGAGGGCATGTGGGCAGGGAAGTCTCTGTGGGTGGATGTAGGCAAAGATGGACACAGAGGATCCCATGAAAGAGAGAAACCTGTTGCCCTGACAGGGAGCTGCCTCTGGTCATAACGATTTCATAAGGCCTGGCTACCGTGGCTATTTCCAGATTTCCACGTAAAGGTTGAATAAGCAGGGTTTGGTTGAGAAGTGGATAATAAATAACTCCCTGAAGCAGAGCTGGGGTCCTGAAAATAGGTTAGCTCAGTTTTCTGTGGAGTTCTTCCTGCAGTTCAATAAATGTCCCAGAGAAGAAAGTTGGTGGCCGTTGGTTTTGCCTGATGCGATCACTTTCCTCAGACTTTTCTTTTTTTTTTTTTTTTTTTTTTTTTTTTTTTGGTTTTTCCGAGACAGGGTTTCTCTGTGTAGCTTTGCGCCTTTCCTGGAACTCACTTTGGAGACCAGGCTGGCCTCGAACTCACAGAGATCCTCCTGGCTCTGCCTCCCGAGTGCTGGGATTAAAGGCGTGCGCCACCACCGCCCGGCTCCTCAGCCTTTTCTAACAAGCCGTGTCTCTCCAATACTCAGAGAGCAGGGTGTTCTGAGATTGGCTCCACCATTTCCCTGCACTTACTGACTGATAGAGGAATGATTGTGCTGCCCCTTCTGGGCAGTCACATGGACGCCGGGAGACTTGTTTTTTTAACTCCCTTGGGTTTTGTCTTTTGTTTTTTGTTATTGTTGGGTTTTGTTTGTTTGCTCTTGATATAGCATCTGCCTATGTAGTCCTGGCTGTCCTGGAACTTCCTATGTACACCAGGTTGGCCTCAAACTCACAGATATCCTCCTGCCTCTGCCTTGCGACTGCTGGTATTAACCACATGACACCATGCTAGGCTATCCCATTTGGGGTCTTACCTGGGGAACTATGTGAGCAAGTGAAAGAATACAGAGAAGCCTGTCTAGGTCAGTGAAGTTGGAGAGATGGGGGAGGTCGAAGGAGAGGGTAGGGAGAGCAGGTGGTGGGAAAGGGTGCAATTCTGAGCTTCCAGACCCAGTGGGACCTGAGCTTCTAATTATGTGAGCCCAAAAGCCATGTTTGCTTAAGCTCCTTTAGCTTGTGGTTTTGCTCGTTTATTTTCTCTTTGTTTTTAGACAGAGTCTAAACTCACTATGTAGCCAAAGCTGGCCTCAAACTCAAGACAGTCCTCTGCCTCAGTCTCCTGAGTACTGAGACTGTAGGGTGCATGCTCCCTGCTCCGTACTTCCATTCACCTGTAAACAGAAGCCCTGCCTAGCCCAAGCCTCCTTACTCCTTACAGACTAAGGTGTCTGTTCCTTGCCATCAAAGGACCTGCCCTGACTTATGTTCAGTCCCTTTCAGAGCTTAGCCCAGACCCTGTGTGAAGGGTCAGAGAACTGATCCTCAACTGTTCTTTCGATCCTCTGGATTTCTAGCTTGCCTCCTGGCTTGCACAGTCCTCTCTGAGAGTTGGCTGTAGGGATTCCCTGGCTTTGCCTTCCTATATTCCAGCTGTCCCTTTCTCTTGGTGTCCAGCACCTCTTCAGATGATAAACTGTGAACAGACCCTCTAGGTCCCAGGACATCCACATACCTGAGCGGCTCCCCTGGGCATCCTGCCCCAGCAGGCCTGGCACCATTGGCTGGTATTTAGTGAGAGCCGTGGCATGTACCATGTTTTCATGTAACCTTCGCTCTGCTTGTCTCTTTTACCTCTTACTATCTCCACCAGGTAAGACCCTCGGCTTGCCAGCCCCTTTCACATTCTGGTTTGGGCTTACTCCCATAGCTGAGAAAGCTCACTAAGCGGTGGCCTTGATGTCAACACATCTGAGATCGGGCCCCCAGGTAGAACAGCGACTCTCTCAGCCTTCATTTCTGTCATTTAAGGCGAGCAGATCGCATTTGTCACTTTTGTGTAGCTGTGCCCAATCACCCATCGGAAACAAGTTAAAGGACTTAAGATTTGACTCTGGTTTGTAGTTTTAGATGGTTCAGTCTAGCAAAACTGGAACAAACACCTGTTGTTTCTGATTCCACGAAGAGGCAGAGTGTCCTGGGAGTGGGACACTCCTCACGTGGACCAGAGGGGCAGGGAAGGTGACTAGGGACACTGGACCCACAAGGACCCACCCCCTAGTGACCTACTTTCTCCAGCTAGGTCCCTACTTCATATCCAGACCATTAGAGAGACTTAAATGTGTTTAGCCTGGCAACCTGGGAATCACACAGGAAGGTCTGCTGACTGGGATGGACTGTGTAAACATGAGGGGCTGTTGTTGGAGGATCGCAAGGCTTCACAAAGATTGAGGGGAACCAGTTGTCCAGAAAGGAGCAATGGCTTATGGGACTACATAGGCCTAAGAGACCCTAGGAAAGGGATCCAGGGTGGCTCCAGCACAGGGTGCAGGAGGAAAATGTGAACTTAAGATCAAGGCTTCTGAGGTCAGCTGGTGCCAGATCACACAGGGCCTTGAGGGATATTTAAGTAACAGATCATAATTCGGGGGAAGGGCCCCTGAAAAGGCAACATGATAGGAAGGGTGCTTTTAAAAGGTCACCCTGGCTTGTAGCTGAGGCAGATAGCAAGATTGGAAGTAGGAGGTGCATCCACCTGCCTGGTGAGGGATTGAGGGATTTGACAAGAAGGCAGCCCAGGACCTTTGCATCCCCAGGCAGGCAGGGGATCAGACTTCCCGACCTGTAGCATGGCTTCTAGTGGGAACAGCAACTTCGGGTTCTCGGGCTTCTCTGAGTCAGGCTTCTGAGCCACCTCCTTTGGTTCATGGTTACCCTGAGGCAGATAGGTCAGCCGCCTTCTCTGTCCTAATTGCTTCCTGCCAAGAAAGCTGCCTTCTCCAGGTGTCCTTGAGGAAACCCTTGTAAAAGCAATGGAGCGTCTCAGGAGGAAGCCGCTCCCTCCACCTGCCACTGCCCCCGAACCCCTCTGGCTGTTGAGGGGCGATTCTGAAAAGAACATTTCACCACTTCCTCCCACACTGCTCCTACACATCTGGGTCAGTGTAGGAACTCTCGGGGATTAGGCAGGGTTCCTGTGGATGGTGGAACAGGTTTATACTGCAATGATTCTGACCAGCAGGCCAGGTGAGGACTGAAGTCCATCCTGTGCTCTACTGTATTTGTTTGTTTGTTTGTTTTGTTTTTTTTGAGACAGGGTTTCTCTGTGTAGCCCTGGCTTCCCTGGATCTTGCTCTGTAGCCCAGGCTGGCCTCGAACTCACAGAGATCCGCCTGCC